GAGTTTTTTTTAAACTGAGACCGAGACTCCATAAAAGAAGCCCGGAGAACGAAGGCCACACCCCAAACGGCAAACGTCGGCAGCGGGAAAAAAGAAACTAGGCGTTACCGTATTGGTAACCCTAGGCGGCGGCGAGTTCTTAGAGAGAGAAGCTTTCTAATGCGTTTACCAGTATTGTGGTTTTTGATAACTTCCCCGTAAAGTACTTTAACAACCAAAGTCTCAATAAAACTTGATTAATATTTTATTAGGTGGTTAAATTACGATGTGCACGCTTTATTTTCAATCTATGTAGCACCGATACCGGTACGCGTAATCGCGGAAACGCGGACACGGGTACGGGGATACGGCAAAACAAAAAAAAGTAGGATACGGATTAGGGGCCATATTTATAAATATTAAAAGTTATGAGGGTGTATTTACAAATATTAAAAGTTACAGGGGTGTATTTATAAATATTAAAAATAGATTTTTTTGGAAATATATGCATATAATATCCTATGAAATATACAAAAAAAATAATTTTTTGGATATATATATATATCCTATATATACATATATACCCATTCATTACATATACATCGTAATATTTCTCATATACACTAGTGCATCTCGAAATATAAATGTAGACATGTAGTCGATAAGTCATTAATTTAAAATGAGAAATAAGTCAAACAACTACAATCTTGAAATTAAAAGTGCAAGTACCAAAGTTATAGAATAATTAAGATAGAAAACAATATTTTAAAAACATATACTGCTTAGAAGCTTGTGATAAAAGACGAAGATTGTTATGAACAAATACCAAATCCTCCGCTCGCTTTGGAAGCAGTTTGTTTCTTCTAAATGAATTAATAAAAGAATGAGAACTCCAATTCTTTTCTGAGCATGATGATGAAGTAGGCTGTCCTAGTATTTTGAAAGCTAATTTTTGAAGAAAAGGTGCATTAGAACCAAAGCATGCCCACCACTTCTTAGGTTCCATGTAATATCTGCTTGCAATAGATTCAGGATCCTCAAATTTTGGATTTTTTTTATTCAAAAAAGTTGATACGGGTATCCGTCAAGATACGAATATCGGAAACTTTCAAAAATTACAAAAAATGGAAACTTTTAAAATTTATAGATACGGCCCGGGAACGTACGGTACGGGTATCCTAAAGTATCGGATACGGGAACGTATCCGATACGCCGATACGCTACCCTAGGGAAGTATCCGTGCTTCATAGTTTTCAATCAAATAAGGTATTAGTATGTACTTCCTCCGTCTTCATTTTGGCCAAAGATATATCCGGTTATCTAAAATTTATATACCTATTCATATCAAAGTATTAACTTCAACCGTAAGATCATATTAAAAATTAATTTTTACTAAATAAAAAAACATTATTAGTGACAAACTAATCTCTTTTTTATAGTGTGACAAATTAATCTTAACAGATTGGTGTTGAAAAATGAAAAAGTCACTATGGAGTGTATTTCTGTTGTTTTAACAGACAATAGTCAACAGGCACGCATACAATTACATATAATGTTTACGAAAAATGTTTACAAATTAAATTTCGTGTACAAGAAAAATGATTATATATGTATCATATTTCAAGTAAGCCCATACTAAAAAGTGGAAATTTAACGTTTCAGCTATAATGTCTAAAGTAATTTTTTATAGCACACCTCAAAGTTTTTTTCATCTTTAATCTTTTCACTTTTGTACGTACTACTCCACCAACTTCGCGCACCACCAAAAGTGTTGGGCGCACCACAATTTCTTCAAAACGGGACCTATTTGTCCTCTTCCTTATCAAACTCGAAGTTTGATCAGTTTATTACGTACTCCGTATTGGGAGTCCCGTATTGGACATGATTTGCTTTTTTTTTATTTATTCAAAAAGTATACATTGTTTGCTTAGATGCCTTCGTCCATTTGATTTTTTGGACAAATTTTCAATGTTTTGACCATCCTCATTCCTCCCTACTTTTGTTTTATTATAACCTGGTTTCAATGTTTTCATCAAACACCTAAATTTTGATTTCGCGCGTTTAATTGTATAATAATAAGAAAATGTAAGATTGTAGTTACTTTTCTGGCTGTATTGACTGAAATTACCGTAAAGTATTATTTTAGATATTTTTTCATATATTTTTTATTTTATTAATTAGTAACAAATATTTTAAATTTAATTTTTTCGCTGCTCACATTAACATGTTTCACGGTGACATGATACCAACGGCAATGGTGACACTCACAGCGATAACAATGACACCGATAGTCATTGATAGTGACTTAAAAATCAGGAAATGACATAATACCAATTCGACAATAGTAATACATTTAACGATCATATATGCAAAATTGTTGTTATTAATCAATATGCAAATCATCATGGTTGCTGATTAATTTGCATTGTACTACGTAATATGAGTTTTTAATACAATTCAGGAAAATGATTAATCTGAATAATATAATAAAGGAGGGACTCCGCGCACCTCCAAATGTGTTGGGCACGCCTATCTTTGCTCATCAATGGACTAATTTGTCCTCTATTTGTTGGGCGCACATCTTGGTTTGATCGTGCACCTCTTAGCTTTTACTTCATTAAACTTTTTTTAAGGTAGATGTTAGACATTATTATCACTCTATTTGACAACATTCTTAAATTGGTTTTTTTAAACCGTCCCTCTTTATTTATTGACACATCTACCTTTTAAAAAAGAAATATTTTTAAAACATAATCAAACCCTAATATAAACAAAATTACAAATCCTAACCATCATCAAACAATTGCTATTCCCCCTGTTCCATTAGAAGGTTTCCATATTTTTGGGCGTCTCATAATTCATAGTACGTATAAAGATTTTCATTTTTATTTTAGAAAACAATTGACACTCTTAAAAGATAAACTAATCATTAAATATTAAAAACAATACATGTATGACACTCTTAAATGGCCTCATTATATTATATACTCATTAAAATTATTTCTCGAAATATATTCAAATCACCTAATTTAATACTATTGTCTAAATAACCGTGCCATTTTACGTCGAGAACTTTTAAGCGAGACGAATGTAATTTTTTTTGGGAAAAGTTTTTTAAGCGAGACGAATGTAGTGTATATATATAGGGCGGATCAAACAAGACACATCGAAAAGAGTCAATAGACATATATTGGACCAGTTTGGACCAGATTAGGCTAAATCGTACTTAAATAGATCATACCAAATCAGATTAGAAAAATTCAATTAAATTAAAAACATCCTTATTGATGTTATAATTATAAAGTAATACTTCCTTCGTCTCTTTTTAGTTGCAACAGTCAACATTTCACGTTTGCCAATGCACAACTTTGACTGTCATTATATTTAATTCTGTATTAGTAAAAATAAAATAAAAATCAGATTATAAAACTTAGTAATGAGACGAATTTAACAATATTTTTCAAAAAAAATAATTCACATACATTAATAAATAAAATGTAGTCAAAGTAAAATACATGAATATTGTATATATTCCAATGTTGCAATTAATGTGATACGGAGGATAGTACTACATATCTCCTAATAAATTAACTTCTCGCAAATTAATATGTATACTTCAAATTTCAATTGTGGTCGTCTTATAAATTAACGTTTCTCGATATTAATATAAAAAGTCGCATTTTTATATTCAAAACTAATAATTTTAACCTTATTAATTTATGACCACTAAAAAGAAATTATACATGTAATATACATCCGTTCCATATGATATAGTGTAATGGAATATCATAAAATAATAATCTGTCACATTGCACAAAATTAATAGACGGAGAGAAATTTTAAAATGGTTAGTGGGTGGGTTATGAATCGTCAAACTACTACGGAGTACTACAAGCAATTTCAATCAAAATTTAAAAAGGTCAAATTTGTCTACTTAGGCCTTGTTTGGTTCAAAGGAGGGGAGGGAAGGGGAGAGTCAAGGAGGGAAGGGAAGGGAAGGGAAGGGAAGGGAAGGATTTTGATAAAAATTTGTGTTTGGTTGGAGGAAATAGGAAGAAAGGTTTAATGAAAATATTTTCGCAATTTACTTTTATTTGATAGCTTACTTAAAAAAATAGATACATGTCTAACTATTGTGAATATTGCTCCTATGGTCATAGAGTCATAATTTTATTTTATTTAATTTTTTTTACTTTTTTAGTTTTATAATTTTTCATTTTTCAGTTTGGAATTTTTAATTTTTAATTTTTAATTTTTTTTTAATTATCAATTTTTAAAATTTTTAATTTATAATTTTTAAAATTTTTAAATTTTAAAATTTTTAAATTTTTAATTTTTAAATTTTTTAATCTTTAAATTTTTAAATTTTTAATTTTTTTAATTTTTCAAATCTTTTTGTTTTTATCTTTTTATATTATAACGTTTTTTTCATTCACGTAGGAGATGAATAGTTTGTAGTAATCAACACGTTTCCTCCGAAATACCTCGATTTGGGGGGTTTAGAATGGGAGGAAGTAGAAGATTTTGAAAGCCATCCACTTTCCTCCCCTTCTTTCCTATTTCCTTCAACCAAACACACACAAATCTCCCACTTTCCTCCCCTCCTCTCCGAAACCCTCCAACCATCCATTCACAACCCACCCACTAATCAATAGAGTTAGGTAAAGTAATATAGAGTGTGCGGGGAGCAACATCCTTTTTTAGTTAAAACTAAAACCAAATACCTTCTCCTCCAGTGTCCCAAAATTCGTGCACCTTCTAGGTTCGATGTTAATTTCCGTTGAGCCCCAAAATTTCACAGCCGAGTGACACTCCTTTGCGAACACAATTTTGTTCACCCTCATTTGAGAGGGTTATTTTCACCTTCACCTCTATTTGCCTCCCATGCGACAAGACAATAGGGGTGAGGGTGAAAATAACCCTCTCTCAAATGAGGGTGAACAAAATTGTGTTCGCAAAGGAGTGTCACTCGACTGTGAAATTTTGGGAAATGAGGATGAACAAAATTCACTCGGAGCAATGGGAAAATAACCATCGGAAATGAGAGGGTGAACAAAATTATGAAGGTGTACTACGAGCAATGGGATGAGATGGGATGAATGGGATGGAAGGCCACGGCAACCATTGAAGGGGTGAACATCATCCTCCCGGTGAGGGTGTACAAAATTACATTCCTCCTTTGCACCCTCTCCGCCACAGGAACACTCCAAAAGGAGGTGCGGCCTAAATACGAAATCTCCGGCCTTACTCTCACCTACACACAAAAACTCATTGAATACTTATAGGTCAAGCTCAGAGTATTTGCTGCTCCAACAGCTGTAATTGGGAGGTCTGTTCGCTTCTGATGCTTCCCCCGTCGTGGAACAAAAGACAGAGTTGATCGACGGTCTGCCTAGCAATTCTGGAATTCTGACGATTACAGCGGTAATAAGGTCATTGACAAACCTTGTTCTGAAATCAAATCATATATTTCGCGTGCTTTTTACCTTTGCATTTCCTGACTTCCGGAACTGTTAGCAGCTTGTTCATTTCATGTCTTCAGGACGCTTTTCTGCACCTTTGATTTTTTGAAGGGATGGTAAAATTAATGTCATAGGAGGAGATAACATCGAACAATTTCATGTCTTTTGAGGTCTCACTCTTTTGTCAGTAATGTTTAATAGCAGATCGGTTGTTCAAACACGTAGGTGCCTCAACCCCTCATTTTTATGTAAGTATCCATAAATGTTTATAATATGTAAATATAATATTTTAAATTCTTTCTTCCATAACAAAAATCATTGTCTTGGCCACTACAGAGGAGTAATAGGGAGCATATCTGATGCTGCTTGAGTATATAGGTACATGTATATTTATGATTTATGATTATAAATTAATGCATCCTCATAATAATATTTGCATTGCAGAGTGACTGAGATTCCCCCTGTCGAAAACAAAGATAATCATGCATTGATGCATGTGTTAGAATGCTTGCGCTCCCATTAACCTCTTTCATATGTAAAGAAGGCAAGGTTATAACCATTTTCTCTTTTTCTCTCTCTATCTTAAATTCTTTACAGTACATTTCTTATATTTAGTGATGTTTTGTATGAACCGCTGAGTTTGAAGTAATTGACAATATTCACCTCACTCATCTCATAGTGATGTTATTGTATGAAGTTATGAACTAATGAGTTTGAAGTAATTGACAATATTCACTTCACTCATCTCATAGTATACTCCTAAACTGACATCCTAGAGAATAGATTGAGTTTCTGTAACCTTGCTTCAAATTTTCTTGAGAATAAATTTGCCTCTAGTTGAAATGATCAAAGCACGAGTTCCAAAACTTCAATACTAATACTCTGCATTGTTTGTAATTGTGGAATGCAATTGCGCCACATGGCACGCCTAAGCTAATTCCTAGACTATGGCGTAAAAGGCATTGCATATGACGTTGGGAGTGTGGCGTATGCAATATTGCACTGAGGCGTACACAATATTGCATACGCAATAAGGCGCTCTGAGGCAAACACAATAGGAGAAGGTCAGGGTGTAAGGGTATTATTTGGGCCCAGCCGGCCCACTTTTAAGTTTTTATAATTGATTTTATGATCCTTATTTCAAACCACCAGTTATTGATTGGATTTTTGAGTCGATCAATCTAATTAATTTAAATTCTCATATCTTAGATTTTTTTTATAAACGATTTAGAAAGTTTTGGTATTCTATGGTACTTTGAAGTTTGAACATATTACTTTGCTAGGACTATGACCTCTTATGGTTTGTTTGAATATAACATTTGTCGAGTTTTGACAAATATGTTTATTTTTTATTATGTTCACACACACAGACACACACATACACATACGCATACGCGCGCGCACACACACACACACACACACACACATATATATATATTACGCCTCAGGCATACGCCTTGTTGCGCAATGAGGCTTACGCAATATGCAATTTCGAACCTTGATATTTACTCCATATTGTTCATTGCTTAGGCCTTGTACTTTAGAAGAGAATTTTCCCAAACAAGTGCCTTAGATATTGGAATAAGTGGAAGTGACTTTAGAACTGTGCAGACATTAGCCTATGATGCATAGTGGAATCAGGATGTGGTAAGTGTATACATATTTTATTTATTTAGTGAGTTCATTTTATTTCTATAATTATCTATATATATTGGGAAGCGAGTTTAAATAATCTCATTATAATGGAGGCAATGGAGCCAAATATTCACTATTTTTTGGCTTGGAATTGTGATGAAATAAAGCAAAATGGCTCACTAAACTGTCTGCCCTTCTTTGTTATGAAGCAATAGTCAGTTCATGCAATTTTCGACGTGATTTTCACCAAGGGTCAACCGAAAACCGTCTCTTTGTGCTTTAGTACAGGGGTAAAGTTGCGTACATCCAACCCCTCCTTACCCCACCGTAGGTGAGAGCCTTTGTGGCACTGGGGTAATGATGATGATGATCATCATCATGGAGGCGTCTTTATCAAGTACAGTGGGATCTAGAGTGGTGCAATGCTATGACTTGTTTTCTCCTTCCATATACTTGTAAATGTATATACTGAAAAACCAGTTTAATGATATGTTTTAATATTGTTGTATTATATGTATAATTCTAATCATGATTGCGGGAAAAAGGTAAATTGGAATTAACTCTTACTACCTCCGCCCCCTTAAGTTTCTAATCACGTATAATTCTAAAGTATTGTTTGATAACTCCAAGTCTTTAAACTTCTTAGGCCTCAAAATTCAATTTATGTCTTCACTTAAAATTACCTATATCATTTTTGTTCATCTGCTGGTTCACCTGCTTGCTGAGCTGCTGCCTACTTGTTACATTAGTTTTATCTAGTTTAGTTTTTAATTAGGTGATTTTTGACAGTAATTTAGTCTTTCGTTTATTTTAAATGCTCATAAAAAATTATTTACTGTGTGTTATACCTTAACCTAAACTCTCTGAGTTCATCTTCATCACCATTGAGAATCATTTTGGTTACATTTACACATGCTTGATGCATAAAACAAAATCTGGGAAAACAGATTTTAATGTGAATTTAAGGAATTCAAAGTTCTTATCATCATTATCATGGATGTGTAGAACTGATAAATTTATCTTGATATTTCGTGGAACAACAGCACTGTAAAATAATGATGATTGGTTCAAGGTTATTCTCTCTGTATGTCAAGCCTGTTTTAGCATGCTCCCCATAATATGCAACTTTTTCAATTTGCACGATACATTCAAGTTCTGAATTCTATATCTGAAGTAAATAATGTTCCTTTCACAGGTAGCAATAACATCAGTCATTTACAGACATTTCATTAAACACCTGACAAGCATATAGCTAGTTCTCATATTTAGCAATGGAAGATGGTGATAGGGACCGGTTCCTATCAGATGGAGCAGCGAGAACCAATGGAGATAGAAACAGAAATGTACCTCACATGTGGAGCCAGTGGCAATTGCTTGATTCCGTTCTTCCAACCGGCGGATTCGCTCATTCTTTTGGGCTAGAGGCAGCAATTCAAGTGCGTATAGTGACCGGACCTGAAGATCTGAAAACGTATGTGATCCATGTTCTGGAAAACACCGCGAGTCTTCTTCTCCCTTTTGTTTACTCTGCAACCATTTCTCCGGACATGGAAACCTGGCACAAGCTTGACCGGACGCTGGATTCCATGCTAACGAATGATGTGAGTCGAAAGGCGTCAATTTCACAAGGTTCGGCACTCATGAGAGTTGCCTCTGCGGTTTTCTCAGAACTCCCGATTCTCAAAGTGATGAGAGACACCTCTCTGTGTACCGGAAATGTGAGATTCCACCAGGCGCCGATCTTCGGTATGATTTGCGGGCTTCTCGGAATGGATCCAGAAGCTTCTCAAAAGGGCTACATGTACATAACAATGAGAGATTTGGTGTCTGCTGCAACAAGGTTGAATCTTGTGGGACCCCTGGGTGCAGCAGTGTTGCAACACCAAATTGCTTTAATCTCCGATGATTTGTCCAGAAAATGGATGGGTCGTCCGGTGGAAGATGCATGCCAGTCTTGTCCATTGATCGACACTGTGCAGGGGTGCCATGGTTACTTGTTTTCCAGGCTCTTTTGCTCCTGAATTACTATGGCCATAAATTTGCTGCCTGCCAATAATGCCTACTGCCCTTAGTACCTTACTGTGGAACTTAGGTGCTTAAATTCTTGGTATGAAAATCAAGTTACTACATCTTTATAAAAAGTGTTAGTAGGTCAGACATGCTACAACCATGGGTTTACTGCGCTGAACTGATTTTCAAGGGCTCTACATGGTTGATCAGTAAAGAGCTTATTATTAGTACTCCCTATTGGGTACGTTACTGCCGTTTATTAACCCTGTCAATTCTATTTTTTTATTTTTTTGGTTTATCTGTTTAAAAAGTAGTTGTATATGATATAGGTTATTGATTGTATAATGAACTACAAAATTGATCACATTTAAGTATTAATCTTCATTTTGGAAACTGCAAATAAAATTAGTATGAATATAAGTTAGTTCCAAATTTTGTTTGTACACCTCCTATTTTGCCCACATAGACAGGCAACCTGTTTTAAAAAGGTCATGTACATAAGTTTGTACAAAAAGTTTACACTCTGTGTACACCAAGAATTGCTCTATTTGTTTTTGTTTTACAGAAGAGAAAACATGCATTGTAACTATTCATAGAATCACAGTTCTTCAATTAAAAACTGATAGGAGTACAGAACTTGTCCAAGTAGTTAGTTTTGAAGCTGAGTGTTGTGTACTCTTTGTACACGCATTTGCTCCAGGTTTAGTAGCCATAAAATTGTTCAATGCTAAATAGTGGTAGTAGTGACACATCACTCCAATGAGTCAATGACATCTAGTTTTTTGTTTTATAACTTTTGTTTAATAAAAAAACAATTCATGGCTAAAACAGTGTTGTTTATTACTTGTGTAGTTGTGTTTTAACAATAAATTATATCGTCCTCCTTAATGGAGCAACGATAATAGCGGCTTGTATGACATTTATGTTCAGTTTTCACCAAAGATTATACTAGTAACTTTTTGTAGCCACATTTGCTCCAAGTTCTGGCTTCCCTTGATCCAAAAAATAAAATAAAAAAAGCAACTAAGATTTTCTTGGTTCCTTTCGTCAAACGAAAGAACTCACCGCCTTCACTGGTGTGTTTTGTGACAGGTCGGCCCTTAGGCTATTATGCCGGCTTTAGAAGGATGGATTCAACTTGCTCACTAGCCCGAATTACAGGAATGCTTTTCTACTCTTCACACCGGAATCGATTGTGAATCGGCTTGTGGCTAAGAAAGAAGAGTCCCATTCAACTGATTGAAAAAAGCTTGGTTCCATATTAGGCATAGCTTAAGAAACAAAAACAAGTATGTAATGGTAAGTGCAGAATTGCAATTTCAGAGCCGTTTCCGTAATTAACAGAGAATTTGGAAACTCATTTTACTAAATAATTAATGCAATCATAGGTACATAAACTTTTAGTATAATTGGTGTACCAAACGAATCATTCATGTTGTAAAAATAAATCTTAGAAACCCTAGAAAAAATATTGTGTTTTCTGAATGACTAGTCCAAGGACAAAAAGACTACTAGTCTTTGTATAAAATTCACATGAATAATCCTAATTATTAGCTATCTTCTAATATTAATTCTAGAATATTATTTCTAATAATAATAAATGTAATACTTCCTTCGTTCCTTAAAACTTTGTCAACTTTCTTTTTTTGGTTGTCCCAAAAACTTTGACACTTTCCCTTTTAATCAATCAATTTGTGGTTCCTGTTATTTCTCTCCTCTGCACAAATCTTTATCACACATTTTTTATTTTATCATTCTACGTGCCGGTCAAATTTTGCAATCCTTTTAGGGACGGAGAGAGTATTAAATAAGGGCATATAAATGATATGGTTAGTCATATTTTTGGAAAACTTAAAAACAAGTCACACTTTTATCTTTTGTATATATTTTAGTAATATTCTTAAAAAAGGCCCATGAAGTAATAACTTTATGGAAGTCTACACATGAAAATATAAAAATAAAAAGTGGAAGGAAATAATTGTTAGAAACAATGGCATGAATATTACTCTACAACTTTCTTTAGACAAAAATATGACCCTTTTAGAGAGACACAAAAGTGACCAGACTCTTCCTGTGCTTTCAATTATTCGACTTCGGACTTTCGTACTAAAGGTATCCATGGCCTTCTCTCTTGTGACTTCAGTCCTCATCGAACAACCACCGTCGATGCTCAGCCAACGTATCCTTCTGACTGGCCCTGTCTCCTCCGTCCTCGTCAACTTTGTCGCTGAAGCACCAACGCCCAAGTTCGCCGCCTGCATCCTTTCTTCTTCATAGCTGATCTTTGCGGTCATTGCTGGTTTGCTTCATCGTTCTCCTCTTCATCACCGATACTTGATGGAATCAACAATGATAAGGTTGATAAATGAGGCTAGGGTTTTGAATTGCAAACACGGACTCAAATTTCTTCTCCTTCTCCCAATTTCCGCATCTACGGTAACATCTCGGTTGATGTGTAAATCTGACGCGACAGTGGGAGTCGACGGTGAAGCAGGATGCAATGGACAGTAAGGACTTTGTAGATCCGGTGGCAGCAACGACTTTGAGAGCTGGGCGATTTGGCGGCGGCGACTCTGATGACTTGGGCAACAATTAGTGTTACGGAGGGCTGCTGCGTGTGGGTGGGGGTGGTGTAGGTGCGGGTGGACTGGTGGGTAATGAAAGTCCAGTGGGGTTGGTGGGTAGTGGCGAGTCCACTGGGCAGTGATGGGGCAGGGGGACGACGACATCCAAGGTAGGGGTGGCAGCAACGGTGGACGGGCAGGGATGGTGGAGCTAGGTGAGGCAGGGGGTTAGGGTGAGGTAGGGGGCTGGGGTGACGCAGGGGAGGGGTTGGGTGAGGATGGGGCTTGGGTGTGGTGGTTAACGGCGGTGGTCGCAAGCGTTGGCCAGAGGTGGTGGCCGCCGGAGGCAGTGGTCGGCGGAGGTAATTGGGCGGTGCGACGGCAGTAATTTGGCGGTTACGCCGGCAGTGTCACTGTGGCCTGAGGTGGTGTCACTGTGGCGGTGTCAAGGTGGTTGGCGATGTCAGTGACATGGCGATGACGGCAACAGTGACATCCGACAGTGACATGAAAATGAGGCAGTGACGTGAATATCAGACTGTCACTTTATTTTAGTCACATTTTTGTTCAAATTTAGAAGTGGTATTCGAGGAATAACCCCTAATTGTTATTCCGTGTCCAAGAAAGAAGAGGCGTCCGCCTCTTATACAAAATGATCAATCGATCAATTAGGATAAGTCAAAACAAAATCAAGGAATTAGAATCGTAGGATAATTCTATTTCCATAAAATAAATAATACAAGCCCTTAAATAGATGATTCCAAAAATAATGGCCAATACCCCCTCAAGTTGGCGCATGGGGACCCAGAATGTCCAACTTACGTAGGGGAGTTTGAAATTGAGTTTTGTCAAGGGCTTTGGTGAAAATATGAGCTAGTTGAACTGTTGTGGGAATATAGTTGGGAGCAATAATATTAGCCTGTATAGGATCTCAGACAAAATGACATTCAACTTCAATGTGCTTGATGTGTTCATACAACACGGGGTTATTAACAATATGAAGAGCTGACTGACTGTCACAGTAGAGCTGACTGAAGAGCTGACTGACTGTCACAGTAGAATGTGATAGCCTGAGAATGTTGAACACCCAAACTCAACAACAAAGCCTTGAACTACTTAAGCTCACAAGTAGCAGCTGTCATGGAGCGATATTCAACTTAGGGATGGACCCGATCCGGGTCGAGTCCGGGTCCGATTCGGGCCTTGGGCGGGACTGGGTTTGGGAGTTGGAGGCTCGGTATCGGCCCGGGTGGGTTCTAGGACCAGGCTAGGCTCGGGTCGGGTCTTATATATATTTTTTAATTTTGTTTTTCTTATTTATTCCTACCCCCACCCCCAAACCACCCAATCCAACCCGCCCAATCCATTTGAAAAAAAAAGATTTTGGTCCCGGACCGGCCGAGCCGGTTCCAAAAGGGCTGTAGCCCGTAACCCGTCCCAAAAATCCCCGGTTCGGGCCCAAGGGCCGGTCTCGGTCCTGGTCAACCGGGTCAGGCCGGTACCACATAGTGGCGGTCTGGACTGGGTATTGGGTCGATCCGGCCGGTCTTGGTCCATCCCTAATTCAGCCTCGACAGATGATCGGGTAACAGTTGACTGTTTTTTAGATTTCCAAGAGACATGTGAGTCAACAAGGAACACTAACTAACCAGAGAGAGATCTTCGAGTAATAGGGTAGGCAGCCCAGTCAGAGTCACACCAACCAGTAAGAGTAAGATCATTGTCAGCAGAAAGGAGAATACCCCGACCTGGAGAACCCTGAAGATACCTGACAACCCGTAGTGCAGGAGACCAATGCTCGGTCCTAGGTTTTTGCTAGAACTGAGATAACATGTGGATCGAATAAGTAAGATCGAGATGACTAACCACAAGGTAGATGAGCCTGAGCCTACGGATGAGGCGACAATATTATTTAGGATTTGGGTGAAGTGGACCAAAAGCACCCCCCCCGGATCATGGATTTGCTCTATTGAAAAAAAGCTGGGTTGGCACCCAAAAGACCGGTTTCTGTAATAATATCAAGTGCATATTTTCTTAGATTTAGAAATATACCAGAATAGTATACTCGTATCAGTAGTAGTTCGGAGAGAGTTATATTAGATATATGTAGTGAATAGTTTCCTTCTTGGTATAAGGCAACAAAGGTGAGAAAGGTAGGTAAAGAACTATTCAAAGCACAATGGGTAAAACATTCATTAAGATAAGATTTAAAACCAGCAATAATAGTACTGTCATATCCAGAGATAAGAAGATCATCAACATACACCAGGACATTGAGCTGAATAACACCACAAATGAGTGTAAATAAAGAATAGTCAACATACGACTGAAGAAAACCATAACATTTAAGTGTGGTGACTAATTTAGCAAACCAACACCGTGGAGCTTTGTTTTAGTCTATATACAAACTTACGAAGACAACACACCAAAGATGAGTCAGTGGTGGTGTAACCAGGAGGAATGGTCATGTATACCTCTTCATGTGGATCACCATGACGAAATGCATCATGTACATCCATCTTATGCAACTCCCAATTTTTACAGGCAGCAATAGCAAGAAATGCACACACAGTAACCATTTTGGCAACAGGGACAAATGTTTCAGTATAATCTAAGCAAGCAACCTGCCTATTACCAAAATTACCAATCGTGCTTGAAGCAACCGTCAGATTTGTGTTTGACTTTATACACCCATCAGCATCCTAAGGCGCGTTTGTCAGAAGGCAAGAGAACAAGAAGACTCCAAGTAGAATTCTTCTTAAGAGCAGCAATTTCTGTGCGCATGGCCTGACGCCACCCATCATGTTTGACGTCATCATGAAATGTTCAAGGCTCTATAATAGATTCAAGAGCTGCCAGGTAAGCAACATGTTTCGGAGAAAATTTATCACAACATAATGAGTTCTAGGAAATGACGCACCTGAACATGATGATGAAACAGGAGGAACGAGAAATGGACTGTCTTTAATAATAATACTGTGGGTGACGAAATCTTTGACACACACAGAAGGAGCCGATCCTCGTTGTCCCCATCCCAAAAGAGTGGGCTGTTGGAATGTAGTTGCTGCGTCGGAAGTAGGTGGCGCATCATCAGGAGGTGGCATAGCCGAAGTAGTTGAGGATGGTGGCGTATCAGCAGCGATGGCGGTTCTATCCACCGAAGCAGATGAGGGTTCTCGGGTCGAAGACGTGGAAGAATACCCAAAAGCCTCCAAATCAATGTAATCATAGGGCAGAACGGTGGATAGCTCGGGTGATGTATCAGTGGATGGAAAAGAACTAGCAAACGGGAAAATAGTTTCAAAATATTTTACATCACATGAAACAAAATATTCTTGAGTTTCAATATCATAAACAATCCACCCTTTCTTTCCAAATAGATAACCCAAAAATACACATTTTCTGTTGCGGCTAAGAAATTTGTCACTTTTGGACTTCATATTAAAAGCATGACATAGACAACCTAAAACTCAGAGAGAATTTATAACACGGCGTAACACCAAATAATATTTCATAAGGCGTCTTATAGAGATGAATGGCAGAGGGAGTACGATTAATAAGATAAGATGCAATAAGGACACACCCTCTCCAAAAAGAAATAGGTAAATGAGCTTGAAATCTCAAAGCACGTGCAACATTCAGAATATGCCTATGTTTATGCTCAACACGACTATTTTGTAGTGGTGTTCCAATGCAAGATGTTTGAAAAATAATTCCACTAGATTGAAAAAAATTAGCCCACACAACACCAGAATAATCATCCATAAGTGTCAAAAAATGTCTAGCATCACATGAAGAAGGGGTATTATAAAAACCCCATAAATCATAATGAATTAATTAAAAAATTCCATGAGTTTTATTTAAACTAGTGGGAAAAGAATCTAAAGGGTATTTCCAATAACCTTCACACCACTTACAGGAGCCAAATGTTCAAGTACTTGAGAAGATGAGTGTCCCAACCTTTGATGCCATAGATCGTTCACCAAATGCTTGGATTCCCT